TTTTTTCTTATATATATAATTTTTTATATATAGTACATAATTATACACGACGTGACTCTATGAGTTACTAAACCTCGTATTTCTGAAGCTTAATCGTAAGATATGTCCACCGCTCCAATAGATGCTTTAGAGAATCGACTTTTTCTATTAGAAATCACACGGACACTCGAAGATAGACGAAATATTCTCTCTTTTTCTTTCTTCTGAATATTTGTTTATTTTATAAACAAGAAAAATCCTTAAATTCCTCCGCACCGAAGCTATAATACCCATCACAATTAAAAGGCATTCGATTTTGATCATTCAGTTTGCATGGCAGCTATATGCCATAGTGGTCCGATATCGCAGTTTCGACAAATGAGTTCCTTCTTGAGCAGAAAAAGACGTGCGCAAAATTTCAGATCGATATTTCAAGACAGCTCGTTTCGCAGATCATTTATATTATTTGCACCATATACAATATTTTAGAGGGTTTTCGTCATTTCCTACTGGGTGTTACGAACTTCATGGCAACCTTAATCTTTTTTTGCTGTCAAAATTTCATGCAATATTGAATGTATGCTGGTCTCACTGATGCCATTAGTTGTTTCTATCTCACGATAGGTCACATGACGATCTTGCAATATCAGTTTGCGCACAACATAAATACTTGTTATTTCTAGAACAACAACTGATTTTCAACGATCTTCTCGAAATTTTTCTATGAGTAATCTACGATCTGGATTTAGTTCACCATACCAACGATAAACACTGGTCACTGATGGAGCTTCGTCCTCAAAAATTGAATTAAGTTCATCAATGCACTGTTGCTGAGTTAATCGACGCCGCAAGTTGCAAGAAATAATCGCGCGAAAATGTTCGCGATTTATCTTCATTTTTTTCCACATTTGGTCGAGATGAATATTTCAAGTTACTGTAAACAACACAACTAGCGCTCGTATGTCAAAACGTTCTGAGTATGTATAACATCAAAAATGTCAAACTTTACGATAAAGTTGAGAGTTGCCAGATTGCAACACTATGTTTCCAAATACTGACATATAAAAGGTAACCTACGTATACGTTATTCAGGATCTAAAAAAATGTTTGTTGAAGCACTTACAGTACTTATTTCGTAAAATATTTTGCCGAACTCGAAGCACTTGAACGTTTAAGTATTGAAAAACCTATAGAACTATTTTATTATTCAGATTCGTTTCATACATACAAGTTAGCTTAAAACGTGTGTCTAAAAATGTCAAGGTTTTAAAAATAATGTGTTACTTCCTCAAAGATAGGAGAACGTAGAAAACCCTAACATATAAGCGGACCTCTAAAACTCTGCACAAATGTGTACAATGTATCACTGCATTCAATAATGTCAATAAAACAGTAGTTAATTTCCACCGCCCAAACAAACACAACATGCATGCACGAGCTTATAAGGTGTGTTGACCTGCTTTGGCAAGACCTAGTTCTCAGAGTTCAAATTCGAAAAATGAACACATTGCAATTTCCCACACACTTTCATATGAACAATGCAAACAATAATAACAAAAACTACTGTTAAATCAAATAACAATAAAGTGAACTATAACTTTCGCGAGCTTGCTGAACTTTTAACATATAATAGAATACTCAAGTGGGTGTATGTAAAAACTATCGGCTAGTCAGTGCTTGCGAACATATAAGCCCGAATGCAATTAAAAACAAGAAAAAATGTTAACTTCGGCTGCACCGAAGCCATAATACCCTACATAGCTGCATTTTTGATAGCATGAAGATGTGTAAAAAATCTTTCTCTTGATTTTTTTCAGGCAGTTTATGTGGCAGCTATATGCTATAGTGATACGATTTAAATCAACTTCTTCAGAGATCGTAGCGATGCATTGAATAATAATCTATGCTAAATTTCGTTAGGATACCTTGAAAAAACAAAAAGTTTTTCATACAAGCAGCTATAAGCTATAGTGGTCCTATCTGAAAAATTTCTTCTAATATTAAAGCGTTTTAATTAGCAGTAATCCGTGCCTAATTTTGTGAAGATATCTCGTCAAATGAATAAGTTTTCCATACAAGCAATTACTTCTGATCGTTCAGTTTGTATGACAGCTATATGCTATAGTGGTCCGATATCGACCATTCCAACAAATGGGCAGTTTCTTGATGAGAAAAGAACGTGTGCAAAATTTCAGATCGATATCTCTAAAACGGAGGGACAAGTTCGCGTATATACAGACAGACAGATAGACAGACGAACATGACTAAATCGCCTCAGCTCGTTGATCATATATATATATATACTTCGTGGAGTCTCCGCCGTTTTCTTTTGGGTCTTACAAACTTCGTATCAAACTTAATATACCCCGTTCAGGGTATAATAAAAGCACTGCGTCGCGCCCTAGCATGTCACGCCTATACCAACTAATTTCACTCAGTCACTGCTGCTAAACTTTTCCACGTAAGTCAAGTCAAAATAGCCACTTCGGGTTGTCAACTAAAATATGTACATCGCGAAAAGCGACAGACTGCGCAATAAAAACATGTAAACAAAAGGCTGGACTTCAATGTCAAAGTCATTATTTTACTGTTAACCTAATTGCGACGGTGTAGCGACTGGAAACGTGAGCGATAGACAAGCAAGGCGGCTAGGACCTGCAAGGACATATAATATAAACGAGACAAACAGCACGTGAGACAACATTACAATGGGGTAAATGGAGCAAAAAGTAACGGTGTCATGTGATATGAGTATGTATACAATATATATGTATATGTATGTACAGCTGGCAACATGTATTACTTGAGGGTTGAATTCGGCTCGTCGGCAGCAAGTCAGGTGATGAAGATACTTCTACCAGAAAATAGTGGTAATTTTCTCTATTATTTCATATACTTGTTAACTATTTTATCAAGTAAATCCACATTCATTTACTAAATAACCCAACCATTATGAATCATCAATGCCAATTAAGGCGAACACACAAACATAACCAGCCAAAAAGAAAAATGTGAATGACACTCAGCAAAGCAAAGTGATGTAGTAATTTGAGTAACATAAAACAACAATAATATAAAGGCGCTTGTTTATGTACATTCCTACAAGAAACTGCTGATGGGTTCACCATTTTTTTTGTCAGTACTGACAGTCAAATGAACAGTAAAATGACTGTCAATGTTTACGAATTTTCCAAAAGCAAATTCTGTATACGTTGAAAAGAGACAGCATACATTTCCATAGAAGTTTCGAGAAGTTGTGAAATGCCTTTGTAGCTGTTATTTCGTGCGTTAAACCAAAGTGTTGCGTGTCCCTGTGCAATAACTCTTTTTGTGTTAAAAAAGTAAATAAATAACGAAGGAGTTTTTAAATATAATATACGTAAGTTATTATATAGTTTCTAATAAAATGATATTTTTAGTTAATTTTAATTTTTATTTAGGCATTTTTAAATTTCGAAATATCCATGAACTGGAGCAATATGTACAGCAGAGCTTTTGAGAGGAGCAAGCATGGCATTAAGTGAAGATTTCTTTTCATAATTTATTATTTAATTATATTTTTGTTACACTTCTTTTTTATATTTATGCATATTATTATAACTGAAATAATTGAAAGTTTTGAATTTATTAAAGGAATAAAAATTATATTATCTTATTATTTTATTTCACTTGTGATAGATTTACAGTCATAACTGACAAATTGCAGCTATGATGGTTTTATGGTCAGCAATGACTCAGCAAAAGACATGAGAGTGAGCAGTATAGACACATAGTGAATCAATTCCGAATACCCATGCGTTAAAGAGAGATGCAAACTCACACACATACGTTTGTTTACATCAGTTTTTGCACAAGGTTCTTAAGAAAATGATAGAAACTTTGTTCTACGCGCTGACACAAATTTTTCAGCTATGACTGTCATATTACCGGTCAGTTGACTGTCACTGTTCTTGTAGGGTTATAGTACATACGTGAGCGTGTACGTATGTATGTATATATAATATATAAGCAAAGAGTTATGCTATCTGCAATATGCAGATGAAGCCAAACAGCGTTGCATAGTCCAAAATTCAGTCGATTTATTGTTGTTGTTGTTGTCTTTTGATAGTAGTAAGAACGTCGATTAGTTGTTGCTGTAATGAATAAGTCAAATTGCTTTGAGCATTTTTGTCACGTCAGAATATTTTTAGGCCACACTGTACTTATCTAACTAACAGACGATTTAATTGTTCGATTATTCACACAACGAATTCGATGAAGCACAGCCGTAAATAATGGGGTGCGGCTAGTTAGATTTGAGATCGGTGGATGCTGTTGTTTTAAAGTTTTATTTTAAAATATGGCATAAATTTAGAAATTTGATAAAATTTTTTAAAAATTAGTTTCTTTAGTTAATGTATATAGCAAACTTAAATAAATGTGATACTTTAAAATATATATATATACATACATATAAATATATATATTATTCTATAGAAGTGAATCTACAATTGGAATAAATGCAGAGCAGTCATTTCTATGTTAACTATTTTAAAAAGATTTTTTTTTTAACAAAAACTATGTTTGTATGTATTTAAATGGAGACTGTTGGCAAATTTTTTTTTTTATATGTATAAGTCATGCTATCAAATAATATTTTTATTTCCACTTTTATCGTGCAAAATCCATTTTTATCTCACGTAAATAATTATATGGTCTCTCCCAAAGCCCGCCCGATGCATTAGGGTCGTCATCAGCACATTAAACTATCGCTCGCTGCATAAGATATGAATAAATAAAAATTCTTTGAATTTTAGAATCTTCACGTAGACTACTAGCTATGTGATGGACTGAGTGTTAAACAGGTTTTACAACAACGTCTCAGGTAATGATTATATAATGCATTAACAACTTGTTAAGCGCATGCAAATTATTAGTAAACTCACAACTACATAATAAATCTCTAAATATTTATTTAAGAATTTTGCGCTTATACCACAATATATTATATTATTACTTATATACGTATATTATTTACACACATTTTTTTTTTTTAGAAAATTTTCGTTGTGAGTACGGCTTGAACACAATGGGTGTGTGTTTTATGTTGTTGTTATGCTTGTACAAGTGCGCTATAATTAGCGTGACTGCTAGTTGTTGTACTGGTTAGTCAACAAAATTTAGTATGTACTGGCTGTTTAACACCGAATTTGAAATAAACTTTAAACAGTGCACTTAGCGTTATTTTCTAAAACTTGTTATAATAATTTTTTACAGAAAAATATTTTTCACTATAAATTTATTTTTTTGTTAAAAAAAAATATACAACACCACCGCGCGCGCACTTTTATTTTGACTACGTCAGCGTTTTCGGTTGTGTGTTTGTGTTTCACGCGTTAGTTTTTGTTTTTCGTTCGAAAATAAACTCCTTCACGAGTTATGTTTATTTACAAATTTTCTCCAAGCCAATGCAACACTCATCAATACTGCTCTTTACAACCGTTATGACTTAGTTTATGCGCTTAGTATACCGTACAATACGAACTGCGTACACCGAATGTCAAGCGCCAACAACTTTGGCGTCCAAGCAGTGCTGTGCTGAAGCTAGTAAGTAGTCAATATTCAAGGCGTTTATTGAGCGCTTGGTAAAGAGCTATTAGTTGTACGTTTTCGACTGCACGAGAAGTAAGGTGCTGGCGCTCTCGCAAGTGTACACACGCCCTTTTCGAATGCTATGTTCGAATTCGCGTTGTTGACTTGCTATGGCGGCGGCTGTGTCAACTTGGCAATTGCGTTAGTTGGGCCAGTTTTTAGACCAGGTTCGTGGCTATATTGACACTGGCGCTCTTAACTGCTGGCTTCTTGTCAGTAGTACAGTTGCCGCCTTTGCTTTGCTATAAGTTCGAATTGGGCTTCGAAGTTATAGCTAGCATTTGCGCTCTCACTTAGCAATGCCGCTCTGTTCTAACGTGTCTTAGTTAAGTCTCTCTGCTCAAGCGTCTGATTTAAAAGCTTTGATTAATTTGCAGCAGAGACGGAAAAATTGATATAATTTGCGATTTAATTAGTGAGCATTATATTTGATACTTAACTGCAGCTTAAATTGCTCGTCTCCTCATTCAATTATATGAAACTAATAAATGTGCATTTAAATGGTTCAATAGCATTTTTTATTTTAAAATCCTATGTTTAACAATTTTTAAATATTTTTTATTTTTAAAGTTTATAATATATTATATATACATATATATTATATATTTTTTAACATTTAAAGTTCATCTGGCTTGCTTATTATTTTTATGCTCACATTTTACAATTATAATATACACATTAGTGTTTATATACACATTTACAATTTTATTAACACGTTTTTTTTTTTTAATTTTTGGGTAAATATTGCAACTTTTCCTCGTTAAGATTATAAATACAATTTAAAATTAAGACAGTCTTTCGTTACGCAAAAATGCTCACAATTGTAACTATGCGTGTATATATGTATGTATGTGTGTGTATAACAAAATTTAAGTATTTACAACCTTCGTCATTTTGTTTTATTATATTACTAAAAAACATTTCTTAAAGAGTTGTCTCGTTTTTGTTAAAAAATTTACAAATATTTCACAAAAGCTGCGCGAATGTCGGTTTGGCACTCCATAGTACGCTGAAAGCAGCGCTCACTTATGTATGCGTGCGTGTGTGTTCGTGCTTGCAGTGCGATCGTTCAGTAGACGCGATCTCTCATAATTAAAGTTAGTGGCGTTTTAGGCGCAAGCAGAAACTCAAATTCCGTTTGCAACGGCTCTTTGAATTTGATTTCGAACGCGAGCAAAAGCTGTAAGAGAAAATTATTTTGTATGAAATATATAAAACATATATGATTTTATAACATTATAAGAATAGAATTTGGAATAAAAAGATTCCAAAAATAATGAAAAATATTAATATAAGTGTACTATCAAGCATACTTATATGTAAGTTCTTTCGTACCTTAGCCAACAACAGCATCACCTCCATTTCTACAAATCGCTTGCCCGGACAGGTTCGTCTTCCGATGCCAAATGGCACGACAATACATGCATTCGGCACATTGACCGTAAATTGACGCTTCTCGTCGAGCCAACGCTCGGGTCGATATTCTTTGGCATTAGGAAAATTGGCGTCGTTGTTACAGGCAATCATGTTCTGACAAAGCACAACCGTCTAAAAAACACGAAAAATAAAAAATAAGTAAAGTTGCAACAATCATGTGTTGTATCTGCCACGAAAAAGTGTCACCTACGCCGGCTTTGAGCTGATAGCCCGACAATTCCATATTCTCCTCAAGTATGCGCGCCAAACAGAAAGCCGTTGGCCTAATGCGATACGATTCCTGTATACAAGCTTTGGTGTAGTCCGCCTTGGCGATTGCCTCTTTTGTGATCGTCGTCTTACGGTATTCACAAAAGTCGGCCAGTATGCCAGAAATTACGCCCTCATCGTTGGTCACAGAGCTGAGCACAAATAGCACTGTGTTGGCAAGCTGTGAATACAAAGTATATATTTCAAATAATTTATTGGCTTTTTGTTGGCGCATACCGACCGTTTCAATGCCCGCCGCTATAAAGTCGACAATTGCCGATTTCTTATCACGTATATCAAGATCCTTAAGTTCCAATATATTCAAGAATATGCTGCGTAAAGCCGCCTCACTTTCATCGCCCGCCGATGTGAGGTAGTCCTCTTTCAGTGCCATTTCGACCATCTCGGAAATAACACTGTAATCAGTTTCAAGTCTTTAACTGTCACTTTTACAGGGCTGCTCTTCCCAACACTTACTCGTAGATAATCTCCTCGGCACGCACGAATTCTGTGTAGGTTTTCGTCGGCAAATACTTCCACAGTCCCAAGCCATAATAGGAATCCCGTTGTGATATGAAAAGTTGCTTAACCGCACTCGCGAGTTGCCGAATTCTTTCCGGTTGCTGACCACTTTTGTCCAGAAAACCCATACGACGCCCCAGCATGAGCGTGCACACCGCTTCCAAGCCCATCAAATTTGCGATGTCCTCAAAGTTGTGCACCTCGAGCGTGTCGGGAACGCGTTGTTGGCGCAAAAGTTCAATGAAATCATCACACACCACATTTAAGGCTGGCAGAAAGTTGTACAGTATGCGTGGCGAGGTAATATAAGAGGTGAGTGAGGCGCGTAGTTTCTGCCAGGTGGTGCCTTGTCTGAAAAGTGATCAGAGGTTGTACAATGACTATTTAGCATAAGAGTAAAATAGTTTTTGCAGCGGTCTCGAATTCATACCGAAATCGAAAATGAAGATTATCAAGACTTGGCATCCGCCACAAAAATATTCTTTTATTTTTTAAAATTATGAAATATGTATTTGCGCGCTTAACATTATTAATATACTTACATTAGCATATACGTACATACCTAAAATACTTACTCATTCACGATGCCCAAACTGGAATACCGATCTGGTCGCGATAACCGATACATCACGACAATATCAGTAGGCGGCCGAAACGGGTAACGGCTGGGATATTTCAACACCTTTTCCAGATCATTCCTATTGAATAAATGCACAATCGGCAAGCCAGAGGTCAGCACTTCTAAAGCAATTTCACCGTATTTGCGATGCCAATCTGCATGGCGTACGCGAACATCAGTAAGGGTACAAACAAAGAACAGAAAAAAAGAGTGAAAATAAATGTATTTATCATTTCAAAATCATTTCCACACTCACCCGCATACATCTCGTGCATCAACGACATTTTGTATTTGCGAAAGAACACGAAGAATACCCATTTTGTGCCGAGAAACGGTATTGGCAATGGCCCTGGAATATCCCAGACACCGCGAGTGCGTGGAATTTCCATGGCATGATAAAAGTCATCCTCTGGTCTGAACAAGCTGGTGTCGACAGCGGCTAGCCTCCCATTGCGACTGAGGTAGCGTGTCAGCAGGGGCTTCAGATAGGCAGTTGCTCCTTTGCCTACATGAAAGTTGCAGTAGAAAGCCAAAAGTATAGCGATTGCGACCAACAGAATCACGGCCATAACCATGAGAGCACGCTAAAAACAAAAAAATGTGAATGGTTTACATATATTTGAAGTATGCATGTGTGCGTCGATTTTTAGTGACATACATATATATATATATATATCTGTGTGTGTGTGTGCGTGTGCTAGAATTTAAGTCAGTCAGTAGGTTAGCGGTTGTGCAAGTGCTCTACTTAAAAATGTGGTCAATCGTTCAGTGCAGGCACACAAGTTTGGCGCTCAAATCTTGACGACACATTTGAAGTCGGACTTGTTTTCTGCGATTGCTCGTCAATTAAATCGAGGAACTATTTCTAGTCACCGGCTCGCTGTAGGCCACATTGTGTATGCATATTCGGCTCAAATGTGACTCGGCTTATGCAATGCATAAAGCCACTTGTTAGACCCCGAACGCTCTCCGTCGTGTAAGATATTTTTAGAACAAATTTATTAAATATATTTAGCACATTTTTTATGAATTGAGCAAAGCTGAGCGCTGTACGCTGCCGCCGCTGCTTGACTTACATACATATATTTTTATTTTACTACGATTGTTTGTATGTATATTAGAGTGAGTGCAAAAAAAAAAGAATATTTTATTTTTCGCTTTGGTACACTGCAAATAGGTGGTGTCTAAGAAAAATCATTTTAAGTTGCAAAGCTCGTATAATAAATAATTTTAAATTGCAAAATTATAGTCTTATAGGAAATTTACTGCTCTACAAAAATGATCTGAATAATTTTTCGATTAAGTTAATCGTATACGAGATATTTATCGTCACACATCAATTGCTGTCTAAGGAGAAAAAACAAAGAAGAAAAAAAAGATACTACTTTTGCTGAGCAATAAATTTACTATAAAGCTCTGCATTTTTTTTCAAATGATTTTTTTTTTCTTTGAGTTATAAAATTAAAAAAAAAAAACTATTATACTCTGTAGCAACAGGTTGCGAGAGTATAATAATAAGTTAAGCGTTTATGTTTGACGATAAATATCAAACATCAATGTCTAACAAAACAAAAAACAGCAAAGAAAAAAAAAGAGATAATTTTTGTTAAGCAATGCACTTACTATAAGACGATAAACTTTTTAAATTAAAATATTTTTTTTTGTTTTCATTGAGTTATAAAATTCAAAAGAAAAAAAATTAATTTGCCTTAAAATAGTCAAATTTCAACTATTAATTTCTTTTAAACGTTTAGATTTACGCAAAAATCGTATAAGAGCTTTTTTAAAGAACACTCAATTTCCTATACAACCCACAAAACGGAATATTTTTTCAATTAGTTTGAAGCGAGATATGAATTTTGTTAGCTGATAATAAAAAAAAATATATAACATTAAAGCGGTGGACCTTACCGTTACAATTATGAGCACATTATAGCTTGGAGCGACTTTTTTCGCGCTGTCTAAGAACCAATTTTTCAGAGTAACAAGCGAAAAAAAAAAAATTTTAACGAAAAAAAATATTTTTTTTTGTACTCACCCTAATGTATAGTTAAGTTCTAATACTCTAACCGGTATTTGTTGCGTATTTTTATTACAACACGCAATTATTGCAATTGACATTGTTGTTGTAATGCTTATGGTAATTGTTGGTATTTAGTGTAAATGTGTGTGTCGATAAATAAAAAAAAGAGCAAAAACGATTTATTGATAGTAGGGGGATTTACTCTTGGAATTTCAATGTGCTATGGTATTTGTAATCAAAATTTAATAATAATTATTATTAATATTATTATTATTATTGCGTTTTAACAAAAATATTTTGCTAAAATTTTTAGGCATTTATGATTCGCCCTAATGCCAAGTTAATTCAGCTTATTTCAGCTGAGCACAGACGTTTTTGATTTGCATATCATTATTTTTTTAGATTATTGGGATTAGGCTGGGTTTACTAAGTGTAGGCGGACAAGCGTTTTGAGCTTGTTTTATTTTTTTTAAATGTGAGCGCTTTAGTGCGAGCAAATACCTTTGAATTTTCGCATGAATGCATTTAAAAGTATTTATTCTTTGGATTTATGTCAATATACTAAATAATCTAGTGAGTGAAAAAAATTTTCAGACAAGCTTAAATTTCGTGCAGGTTTGGTTTCTCAATCGTCAACGCTATTACGATCCATTATAAACTTAAGCTTAACTCTTAAATAATATCATTCTTGTAATAGAACTTCTACACGTTCTGTACAACTTTCCGATCGAAAATGCATGGGTTTCCACTTTATGACTCAGAATGCCTCGCAATAAGGTGGAAATTCAAATGTTTTCGTATTTTTCGACACACCTGTACGTGCTCATATACCCGAAACTGTTGAAACCATTAATAAAATACAATATTTTTATTATCAGGTCATTAGTTTTTATTAAAGAATAAAATTAATTGCAAATATCTTCAGTTTTAATGCTAAGGCCATAAAAGCTTTTCTAAATACAAAAACAAATATTTCATAATTCAAAAAAACAAGTTTTAAACACAAATCATTATTTTCCAATTCGAAATTTTCAATTTCAAGGTCTCGAATTTTGCTAAAAACACTGGCAAACTCAGCAAATCTTAAGGTCAAAGACCCAAAAGTAAATGTAAAAAACAGAAGCGTAAACAAAAACAAACTAAAATAGGTCAATACGGAAATGAGTAAAAAGAATGGTGAAATTTAAGCAAAACAAAAGCGAAAACTACCAACACACCCAAACCACACAAAGCAAGAGTGTCAACTGCGTGAAAATTAGTCACTAAGCTTTACAGCAAACAAAGAACGATCACTAAAACGAAATTGAGGTGAACGCTGCATCACCACCTGCACCAAATCGGCGATTGAGCGATTTCATTGCATACACACATGCATTTGCTATGTTTGCACGGCGCGACTTACACACCCATGCTAGTATGTTTCTTTGTGTGCTGGTATGTGTGTGAACGATTAGCGATCACCGTGATCAATAGGAATTTGTACGTGATCAAAAGCTGGTAGACACATGCACACACACACTTGTATAGGAAACAAGTAGTAGGCACGCCACCGACAAGGCACGAGACTGCCGCCGAACTCAGCTGATTTATGCACATACATACATATGTATGTGTGCAAGCGTATAAATAGGTGTGGGAATATGCATAATTTCGTCGGTGCAAATAAATGTGATCCGCTTTTTGTTGTTGTTGCATTTTGGGCAGGAAAATTACCGCAATTTGTTTGTTGTTAACCTTTATGAATGACTTTGAAATGAATTTTTATTTTAATTTTCGATTAATCCGCCGTATAGAATCAAGTGCAAATGCGTGTCTGGCTATGTGTGTGTGTGTGTGTGCATGAGTGGGTGGCTATATATAGTACAAGTATGTAGTATAAGTGAGCGGATGTTGAGATGTAAGGATGTAGGAGCGCTAAATATATGCTATTAGAAGCAATATGTGAAAAATAAATAATCTTCGTGAGTGGAATGTTGTTAAAAAAATAAAAATAATTTATAAATTTAATAAATATTTTAATTTATTATTGTTTTTTGCAATACTTTATACTATTTTATTTTTATTTATTACTACTATTGCTTAATGACTTAAATCTTTTTTTTTTTTGCACGAAAAACCAAAAATGTTAAAAACATGTTTTTATAACAAAATTTTTATTAAAAATATAAACAAAACTATTGCTTTAATATCTTATGTTTTTTTTTTGGTTTTTGCACAAAAAACTCGAAATGTTAAAAATATGGGTTTTTTTCTACAAATTTTCTTTTGAAAAATATAAACAAAAATATTTTGATTATTTATTTATATACAATTTTTATTTATATATGTTTTTCAAGAAAATAAAATTTCAAATAATTTAATTCATTTTTATACTCTTGCAACATGTTGTATATTATATGAGTATAATAGCTTTGTTCACACTACTGTTGTTTGTAACATCTAAAATTAAGCGATATATATATATATATATATATCCAAAAAAACATATAAATAAATAATCAAAATATTTTTGTTTATATTTTTCAATAAAAATTTTGTAATATGATGAATTTGGATGATATATATATATATATATAAATAAATGACCAGGATGACGAGACGAGTTGAAATCCGGTTGACTGTCTGTCCGTCCGCCCGTCTGTCTGTGTAAGCTATAACTTGAGTAAAACTTAAGATATCTTGATGAAACTTGTTCATGCTCCATGGTCACATATGGAGGCCGAGTTCGTAGATGGGCGTAACCGAATCACTGCCGCGCCTACCAAACGCCATTAATCAAAAACGCATAAAGTGCCACAACTATGCTCCACAATAAGGTTGTTATTCAATACAACGAATTACATTAGGCAGGGTTATCTATGGTTGAAAATAATTTGAAAAAGTAGGCGTGGTCCCACCCTCTAATAAGTTTAATGTACATATCTTCTAAACTACTCATGCGATAATAACCAAATTCGCTTGGGGCAAATGTTTTTGACACCCCTACCGAAAGTGTGAAAATGAATGAAATCGGATTATAACCCCGCCCACTTCCCCTTTAAGAGAGTTTTGTTAAAAACTACTAAATGAGCAATAAATCAATAACTAAATGCGTTATAGCGGGGATGGTGCAAGAGGGTTTTATAAGAGCCGGTGTCAAATTTGTACGTTGGGCGTGGCGCCGCCCACATTTACGTGTAAACCCATATCTCTGGACCTACTGAACCAATTGCAGCTAAATTCGATAAATAACATTATCTTGACATTCCCATGTTAAAGTGCAAAAATGAGCGAAATCTTACTACAAACACACCTACATTCCATATAACACAATTTTAAATTCCTTATGATTTTTTCACTTTTGAGTATACAATTCAAAAACCAATCAATGTATCCGGACAAAAATATGCACGAAACGCCTTTAAGGTGTGCCTCCATCCTATAACAAAAGTTTTTCAAATTGAACCAAAACTATTCAAGCCCCCAGATATCGAATATGTGGACCCCAGTTCCTATTGTGAACTTTTAATCGAAATTATCGATCACTCTATAAGATATGTTATAGAAATTCAGAGATAATCT